GTAGGTTCAGCGCCAAGTAGCTGGGTTATCAGCTTTAGTGTTGGTGTTCGAAGTATCAGTTAGCTTTCCGTTAAGAAAAAACAGTTTCCAACTTGCAGACCCTGGATAGACAGGAAATACTCTCGTCCGTACCTACAATACATACGTTCTCTATCAATCTCTTTCCTACCTCGAACAGAGATGGATTCCGATGAATGTGCTCCCACAGGACGGTGACAAAAAGGCAATAAAGCCTGAGCGGGGCGACAAAGACGCTGCGATGCCCACTCGGGAGTCTGGATATATTCGAACAAGTATCACTCCAGACAAAGTCCCACAGGGGCACCCTTTTTAGCGCAGCTGGCGAATGTGCACGAACAAATTGTGAGATAATGCGAGTATCCCCAAATTTGGGTTTGCTTGTGTAAGGAAATATAGCCTATAGTGGTATTGGCACGAAAAATGTCTTTCTTTGTCAGCCCAGATTAGTATACCCCGACACAGATTCATCAATTAATCTGCATACCGTAGTAATAACCACATCCGCCACATGAACTGCAGCTAATAGATCAATACAGTATGAGCAGAATTTCTTATCTACAATTTATTTTCTTAAGTTTAAATTTTTATTATCCTGAAAAACATAATTATACTGACAATCTGATACAACTTTGGGAAATGGAACAATACCAGAATCGTTCTCGACATTGAGCTATTTTATTCAAGCTGAAGTTGCTCTGCGTCTTATTTTTACTAGTTTCAAAACCTGACGTGTATGAAGGTCTCAGTCATTGAATGTCCTTAGAATCTGTCCATGGTAAATGGAAGAGGGTACTCTACTACGTATAATTCAATACAGTATATGGATTAAGTCGATGCGAATTTTAGTGTAAATTAAGCTTAACCGTATCAGCCAGCACTAGCACTACAAAATGTAAACCGCTGACAAGTACAAGGACGAGCAGCAGAGAACTCTGTACCATTTACATACATTCGCGATACTGTAAAACTCAATAGCTTCCTCCTCCTGCTCACTTATTCTAACAACGCACATAACCGTTACGGAAACTTTTCTCAGAAAACAATGTAGTTTCGACGGAAGGTCGAACGAAAACTGCTAGGTATGCTTCTGTCGACGGCTCAGAAGGAATGTTGTACAAATATATATGATATAGGTCACTGGTCGTAGGCCACTTAGTGGACGCTTCAGCGCGTCTATACGCCCTTTTCGCGAATGCTAAACAAGTATTGGGTCCTGCCTTATACGTTTTGATATAGCTGTAGTCACCATTCTTAGCGGGTCAAAGAGTAAGATCACCAGTATCCTCTTATATATCTCTATCTCCTTCATGCATATACATGCAATCTACCCCTGTGTGTGAACGTGTGTACGGTAAGCTTAAAGACATACGTTTTTTAGTTGTGTCTCCGTCTCGAAAACGTCGTTACGTATGAGTGTCCTTCAATCGTATTTGACAACTTACTTGACATTGGCGTGCAATTTTAGTTGTCCTGCTGTCAATCTTCAATATGAAATTGTACATTGCCCGGAAATACAATCAATGGAGAAGGCTCGTGCTAAATTTATTAGAGTATTACCAGGAAGAGAATGACAACAGCGGTCCCCTGATACCCACTGCGTGCGTACTGGAGAGAGTATCAGCTGCGCTAAAAATTAGTCTGCGCCCATAGTACGGAGACTCGATCTGTTTACTTATTGCATATGGCGTTGATGACGTAACCTCCAAGAACGGTGAGTACAACCGTACCAGCATACTTCCTCAGCATAGTACTTTAAGGCCATATAGCGATCTAAAATATGACAAAATAACTCTCACTTCATCATCAAACCACCCACAACGCATATCACATCATATAGGTGACATGAAGCTTTAACGTGTGATGAAATCCAACTAGTAATGGCAAGCACTTTCCACCTCAAAAAGTGTGGATTTTCAATCCACTTTTTTGTTATAGTATTCGCCACCTCGTTACACTGCATGTGGCATGATTCTCAAAGCATTTTAAAAGCTGCAACTGCATTATTGGTTATGTAACGAAGTTAGCTCACTTTTCGGGAATCAGTGTCAAATGTTTTAAAATAGATAAGGGTATGATATTACATGATATACTGTCATTACGTTACGCAGTGATGCGTGGTCAGTGTTGATAAACCTGACTCAAACGACTTTTGCTTTAGTAATAGCGATTATCATTTTTCATTCAAAATTCACCCGGGCATTGTTTGACTCAAAGGCTGAAGCGGTTGTCCAAATGAGAACCATGATAACCGAGAAAACGAAAAAGATGTATCGGCGATGTTAAAGTCGTGATTAAGAAGCATTTTTCATTAGACAGTTCGGAAATGAAAGAAACTTTCCGACAATTCGTTTTCTTTGCAACGTATTTTAATTAAAGAAGCGGATGAAGTTTCAGAAAACTTGTTGATATTCAAAAGGATGGATGACCTGGATTCGTTAGAAAAATATTTATGACGACGAACTTCCTTCCGGCCCTGAACTCTGTTCCCGACAGCTTCTTTCTGCTTCTCTTTTTTCAACGGCCTGTTTGTATTGCCAGCTTTTGTTTTTTCACTGCAATCGGAAGACTGTTAGTGGTGATAAAACTCATAAAAATAAATTATAAACTCCATATAAACCTACTTACTGTGATGGGAACGCAAAGTTGGTGCTTGATTTTTAGTATAAGGGAACACAGGTTCAACGAATCATAGAAAACTGATTATATAGTATGCTTACGAATTGTACTGAGCATCTAGATAGACTAGACAAATAAATTATGTGGCGACTTGCAGTTTTTGTGAAATATTTATGTTTTCATAAATTTAAAGGGGTCACCACGGAAGGTCCATGATTCGTAAGATCTGTAAGTTGGTACCCCGCTGGTTAGCTCTTAGGGCACTAAGCGGGAGATTACACGACTCATTTTATTAACAAAGGAGCATTCACAGTTTGATTTATTTTTTTACTAATCTCAAAGGCCTGCAAACTCAGCCTTAAGCTTATCCAGCTACAGAAGTTCACATTGTATACTTGAATAACTTTTGTTTCTAATGCACTTCCATCGGTGGGCAAGCGTGTAGATAGTATGGTACTAGATTTTATAAAGAACAAGTGTCAGTATTTGCGAGACGGATTGATTCTACTTAAGCGCCGCCTCTTGGAACATTTTGTCTTGGTTCCGGGCCCAAGGTATTCGGTTATACAATACATCATTATGCTTATCATTGTTAAGGAATCATATTTTTTATTCAGCTGGCACTTTTACTTCTCAGCCTGCTGGCAAGGAAGTATTGTGATTTCAAAATTTTCAAAAATGAGATACGTTTTTTAGACGATATATGACATCTTAATAACGAAAAACCATGCCACTTATTTCCGTCTGTCTGTCGATATATCTGTCTGTCGATCCGATTTTGCTGAAATGTCCACACAAGATTTATTGCGTCAATGTCCAAATCAAAACTGCATTGTAGCTTTTGAAAATCGGTAACCACGGGGCTAACCGCAAAAAAAAACGTAAAATGACAAAAATCGCTGAAACTTCTTTTTTAATGATTCCGAGGCTCCTGCTCATTTTTGTATTTTTTTAAAGGATCAAATATAGAAGGATGGGGATTGTACTCCTAGCCCTGGTAACTCTACTCACCTGTTAGACACATTTTGCCATAGATTTCTCCATATATTTGCCCTTAAGACTTACGAATGGAATGGTTTTCGATACCTGTGTTGAGAAAATGGCTGGTGGCTCGGAGACTGTACGCTTGGGTCGTATCATGTTCAGACGTAGCAATTCTTATCTCAACGTCGCTTTTTGTGATAAAATGGCTGGGAACTGATGGCGAATTTGTATAGGCCTATTTGACTGCCTTGGTTGATTAAATTAATTTCTTCGTAGTTTTTTTTAAAGGTGCTACTTTATGCCGACCATATTTTTTCATGAACTGCTAATAACGTTGCGTGGGAAGTGCAGAGTTAACGTACTTAATGCCGTTTTCTAAGAAACGCAACGAAAAACTCACACTTCTAAAACAGAATCTCAATGTGACTTTGAGAAAATCACACTTATTCTTACAAAAACCAATTGCACATAATCTTCCGTTTGACATAAAGCTTTTCGGAGACTTAGGATTTGCAGTTCCATATTCTGATTGTACTGTATCTGCCATTAGGCTTTACTGACAAAAGTGTATTAGCACTTTACGTGTAGAGTACTAAGAACTATATTCCGAAATTTGTAGCAGGCTTCCATGTTGTCGAGCGTTATCTCGCTATGGAAATAACGCCATACTTTTTTGAATCACCTTTTGTTAACAGCGTGGTATGCTCTCGGTATACCCTGACACAGATTCACTATTTTTTGCAACTCTCTATTAAGAAAACCAATATCTATCCAATTCTTATCTTTTATTTTAAAACTTTAAGACGATATGATACGCGAGCCGAGTTTATACGCAGTCATTTATATGATGGATACATCAGTATGCAATTTGTATTGACATTATGGAAAATTAGCACTCTACAGAAGAAAAAGAAGAAAGATGGGATAGCCAAGGGAGAAGTTTGATTCAGGTGACAAGTGTCATACGTTTTCAATAATTCCTAAATGAGTTCTGCATTCTATATCGCCACTAACAACAACCTAACGTTTGCTTTTATGTTGCTGAATCCCGGGTGAAGACAGAGCTCTACGTAATGGCTGGACAACGCAATGAAGAGGGCGATGAACAAGCAACTGCAAGCCGAAACAACGAAACTCGCCGACAAGATAAACAAGCTGGCAGAAGAATTTGGTGAATATGAAGATGTTAGCGTCACCATCCGCATCAGAGGTTTAAAAGATTTTGAACTACCAAATTTCGAAGTACACACCGACGGAGCAAATGAAAGAAGAATACGAATGTATATTTGAATATGACGGCAAGGCTGGAGACATGATATTTCGTTTGAGACATATTTGCCGAATGACAAACGTCAATCTAACTGGCGTCTGTCCTGATGATTCCAGTGAATAACAACTGTTAAAGTGGACGTTCTGGGAATGAGAAAAGTAATAAGTCGAATGACTTTGAGGCAGAAGAGAAAACGGGATACTTCAACAATGAATCAGAGGTCATGGAAACTGGATCAATGGACAATGATGGTTACGTGTTTCTGTTGGAAGTTAGGTTGGACAGAACTAAAGAAAATAACATGGACCTCTTACGAAGGTAACAAAATAGCACTGCTATATCATGCGCTACTTACTATTAAATTGCCAGGCCATAGGCAAACGTCAAACGATCAGTACTTACTGTAGCTCATACCATTACTACGTAACCTTATACTGCAATAATTGCTAGCGTCCAGGCTACATGGTCAAGTATTGTAAACAATGTGACAGACCACAGTAGAGACTGATCGTGTGACGTCGCCTTAAGAAAATCCTCCCAGTTGTTTGTTATTGCGACCGGGGAGGAAACGTGTAGAGTTCGCGACGCCCCATACAAGAACAGGAAGAATGAAGAAATGGTCGCCAAGGAAGAAGCTCTAGTCAAGGTCATACATTTTCTACTGTCACTGACGCCCGGACATTTTCTTTTGCCTTATTTTAGACCTTATTGATAGACTGCTTTAGTATGATTATTAGGCGATTTTGAAGTAGGAATAGTAACGCCTACCATATAACAAACACTACATAGTTGTTCTTACGAAGAACCATCAATCCAGCGTTGCTGCTGTACCAACCAGAGCGCAAAAAGTCCGTGCTGACGGCCATTTATTCTGGCGAACGTTCATGCACCTGCCGCCGCAGGGACTGCATGCACATGACGATGGACATTTACAAAAAGGAAAAAGAAAACTCAACCAGCAGCAGCCGGTTCCCATTTCCACGAAAATCACCCCCATTACCCGGCATTGCACTTTCGCGTGTCGTCTCCTTGTTTCGGGAACGAGCTTGCCCTACATGCACTCCTGATGGATAAAGGGCATTGCTAAGGAGGCAGGCGGCAGTTTGAAATATTTAAAGTCACGGTGCATAGACTAGCCTGAAAGACGGGCAGTTTTCTGTGATTGTCTAGCTTGGGAGGCACATGAATCTTCTTGAAAGTAGAATGTGAGCATTGTTAATATAGCATAATTTGAGCCGCTGATTTCACCACATATGGCGATTGATAGAATAAGTAAAGTCCTATTTGTAATAAGGTCAGTGATACGACGTTACCAAGAACTTATGGACATAAGACTTTTTCAAAATGTTCCTTGTTGCAACCTTGTTGTGACCAAAAACCAGTACAGTGGGATAATTTTAGATACCGAAATCGAATAGGATAATGCATGATTAAAACGTATCCGTGTCTACGTAGTCGTTTTAATAAAATATTTTTTGGAATTTTTCAAAATAATGTTTCTGAACTCTGAGCTTCCTAAACAATAGGAATTAATTTTGTTTTGTCATTTCAGGTCATAAAAACAAATTATTCTGATACTTAGGTGCATGCATTTCATAGCAACAAATTCACAAAAACCTGGTTTTAATATTATTCCAAGAATCACTCAAATCAAAACACAATTTCATACAGAAAACCAAGCAAATCAACTTTGTCCCGATCCCCTTATTTCTAGCAACAACGAAAACCAAACTGACCTTTTTATTCTCACTATTTTTTTTAAGCAGAAACCCCAATCGAGACACGAGGACAACTATCCACTTGTGTCAAGTACACTTATTTGTTCCGTAAATCGTCTGTAAGCGATAAAATACGAATTCCGGCCAATTTCTAGCGGGCCCGAGAAACAATTAAGGCCCTATTACATAGAAATTAAAGCAAAACGTAACTGGAAATTGTAAATATCGTCCTGGAACGACAGAACGGTAATGAAACTGGCTCTCTCTACCACAGACGTCATACGCCTAGATCATCGTTGATTCATAGAATGAATCCAGCATATCTCAGAAACTTAAGGCGTATTCAGTCAGTATATGCAGATTGACTTTAGTTTGGATTACTAACGATATGACTTAGCACGTACATATCTTGACAATCGCACCTTAGCTAGAATCACTTTCGGTAGATGGCGTTTTCACTGATCATTATGCAAGGCACGACCAAGTGACAAAATGTCCTTTTTCAAGATGATGAAGAAACATTGGCAGTTCGTGAAAAAACAGTACGATGGTTGTTTATACCAATTTTTTCTGCATATAGTTTTAGATAGTATAAGTCTATATATGTAATGATTTTCTCAGAACAGACTTATTCCTGAAACCTAACGAAATAAATTGGTGCTTGGTTTGAGTTATGCTTTCATAAGTAATGCTTATTGCCGCCTATAGTACTAACAATTTGCATTGGGTGGTTAACAGTCAATTGTACGGTCATTGGCCACTTATGCAAACAGAAGTGCGTTTGCTAACACAATACAAAATTTTGATCATTTGGTGGACTGTTGCAAGATGGATACCATCAAGTATTACATTTGACACTAAGCTTGAAATATGTTTACTCTTTAGGATTAGGTATTAATCTTTTGGAGATTCACCAATTGTCGCATATTTAAGTGCTGCCTGACGCAGTTCATGTGAAGTGGACTTATAATTTCATACTAAGCAACAGCAACTATGTCTAAGGGCAAGAAAGAGCTTGTTATGCGAGCAGCCAGTAGCTAATTCAATAGCAGAAAAGGTAAAAGAGGTTCAGATAGCCGTCGTCACGAATGCTTGCGGTTGGGTGTGATTCTGACGAATTATTAATACAGACCCAACATGTAAAACGTCTACAGCGTAATTGCAGCGAATTGAATCTTTATGCAAAGCCAGCACTTTTGTATGTTGCACCTCGGCGGCAATTTCTTTGCTAATTACTATTAAGACGTTTTCCTTAGCTTAGAGATTTCAGAATAAAGTCAAAAGCATTCAGTTCAAAATTCAGGAATAAATTCAAAGTAATTAGGTGGTGTCTCGAACTGATGATAGACAGCATGAGTGGGGTTAAACATGTTTGTTTTCTATAAAAAAAATATCACTTATGCTGGCATAGTTATCATCACTTCGTTTAGATTGCCACGGATGGTTCTAAAAAGTAACATACCAATAATCTGTGATTTAAAACCTCTCTCAAAGCTGACCATCTTATATCGTTCTAGCGGACATTTTTTCTCTAATGGTAATCAAATACTAGTGAGTTTGGAAATTTCTCTGACAAGAGCGAGGCAGTCTGGTAATAGTAACTACATCTATGGCCACAACACTAGCTCTTTCCTTACACCAATTGAGGCCCAAGTTGCTTTCGCTAACTGGAATTGTGTAATTTCCGGCCAGTTTATGAGTCGCAACGAGGCGAGAACTCGGGCCGCGATACCCTGCGAGGCGATGGCGGATAATCTATCCATATGGCTGTTCGGGCACACTCGATTTGATTGGATTTCGCCGATGTCTGAGAAATGGAGAAACTGGACGATCAACGGCGAACAGAGGACGACAAAAATGTACCGCTCGCCTAACACGAGATATGGGGCTTTGTGAAATGTTTTATTCAATTCCTTGTCTTCGAGGATAATAGAATATTCTTCATGAGAATCGATGTGGCGACTTAGAAGGAACGAGAGATAAAGGTCTTACTTAGTTGGAGCAAGGTACCCGCATAAAACGGATCTTAGGTGGGAATGTAATTTTGCGCTGTATTCAAAAAACCCATGACCAGAACGGAAAGTCGGACAACGTTTTAGATATTCTGAATATTCAGCACTGCCCCTTGTCCAGTGAAGGTCAGATGCGATTTTGATTAACGTGTATTATTTCTGTTGAGTCTACACAAGGCAGGCGTATTGTGCTATGTAGTCGTTAAGTAGTACGATCAATAAATCGACGTGACACTAAACTAATAGCCGTTTGATATAACATTACTCAGCGTCGAATGAGTTTTACTTTGACAACCATTATCATATTAGAACATCATTATGCTGTGACGATGTGTGGAGAAACTAAGGGTTGCTTTCACCTAACTTTGGTATGGTCACAACTGATAAAAGTATCTGTCTGTCTGTACAAGGTCCAGATGAGACTTAGCCTGGGTTATTGCTCACATGTTTAGGATGCTGTCGTTCTCGATGCTATTAAGAGGAAGGCTGTCCGACTGATCGATGACACTTTTCTGAGGAACGGTCTCCGGCCCCACACTAGCGGTCGGTTCTCGATCTGGCTACGTTCCACCACTAGTTCAGAGCTCTCCTCCATGATGCCGCCGTGCTTTGACTCACCAGGCTTCCACCTCCTAGCCTAACTCTGGCAGAACTTGTCGGTATGACTACTCCTTTGTTTCTAGGGTGTCAAGATTCTGAGATAATCTGCATGAGGAGGTGTTCCTACATCTATCAATCCCAGGCAGTTCAAAAATCGCACTAACAGGGTATCTTTAAACTCCGTAATTAATAATAAAAAAAGAAATGTTTCTGTGGAGTTTCCGTTTAGTTCCTGGGATAGTCTATAAGCAAATATGTACAATATTTCTAATGAGAAAAAATGTTGTTTGTTATTGTTTTAATTTCATCATTTCAGTTCAATAGTGAGGAAACTAAGATATATTGGACAAACAATGAGAAGCCGATAGATACAGAATTCTCTATCTCATGTTACAAGGAATGATACTAGGGAACAGAGAAATAGAACGCATGTATTCTTTTTTGTGGGAATGGACAGGCTTGGCAACAACCTATTAAAAGCAGCTATCAACAAAATAAGTTACTCAGACAGGCACTAGTAGCGGGACAGTTATTATAATTTTTGTCAAAAGCTTTTTATAAGTGTTTGTCAAAATCCAAGATACTCTTTAATATGTAACCCACAGAAAGGAGATTTCTGAGTTGAAATTTTAGATTAAATTCCGCCATTTTGATTGTATATAGTTTTGAGTACACCTAGTGCTTGGACGAATCTAGAAACACCTCTTATGTAAAAATCCAGCGAGCCTCTTAAGCCGTAGCCTGCAGAATGGGAATTTGAAAGTCACAAAATGTTTGTGTTAAATTCACCATTTTACTTTCAGATTACCCAGTGCCGCTCGCAATGCCAAGACAGATCTAGGGACACCTAGTTAGTTTAAGGAGCAGCCCATGAAATCCCGCTATTTTGTTTTTCAGTAAATTTTTATATAACTTATGTCATTCTCACTGCTAGGATGAGTCGAACGACACATCATATGTATAAATCTATAAAGCCGTTCGACCTGTAGCCCGTAAAATAGATTTTTGTGTCTACATGTCTACATACCCACGCGCGGAAAACGTATACCTTCTTCTGAGGCTTTCAGATAAAAGGACAGGATTTTGATGTGTCAGCAGATTTTACTCCACATATAGCCCGATTTCGTTGCTACTAGGCGTATTACCTGTTGTTCAGCCGACGGTTGGAAGAAGTTTCGCCGCCGACCGTCTGGCTGACAAAATCTCAAAATGCATGCTCTGGAAACGTGTCAACAATATATTAATAACTTCTGTGTCACTCTATGCATACGCCTGAGGATGTATTTTTTTAATAGCAGAATAGACGTCCAGGGATGATAGCGTTACTGACGGCTACTGACTTGATGGCTCTACGTAATTTTGAGTCCTATCCTATCCTATGGGGCGCCAAATTAGCCAAATTAAATACCTTAAATAATGAGTTGGCCATGGAAACAAAACTTTGCTTGTACTACCTTTACTATTGCAGACTATAAAACTTTAAGTTTATCCTATATCATCATCACTACCTTTTTACAGCGAAATTGAACAGTTTCTGTATCATCCGTTGTGTTATGTGTTGGAATCTATCTATGGATTATAGTAAAGGGAGTGCGCACCTAAATTTGAGGTAGTATAAATCACTGTGTATTGAACGTATTGCTATTTCTACTTTCTCTTCTTTAGGTTAGTCTAAGAGGGTCTCAGTGAGGTTCCACGCTTTTGCCAATAGGGATTAATGTATGCTTATGGACCGTGTAGTACTACTGGATAAAATTCAGAGTTAGTCCTTGACAACTTCTACAAACTATTTAGAAACATATGTTAGTATACAGCCACAATATGGCAGATGCTCGGACACCAGTCAGTATATCTCCTTGAATTTTTCTTTTGAGTGGCATTAAAATTACATTCAAATGCGTTCCTACGCACAAACTGGTTTCTAATTTAGAGTCAACGACTGCGGAAACCTATATGAAACGTGCCTGGATTTATTTTGAATTTGTCATTCAAGTGACCTTGACGAGATCTTCAAATGCCCTCATAGTGTATAATTGACATTTGGTTCGTATTTATAAACCAGAAAATCCTAAATGGCATGTGGTTGGACTCAACTGCACGGTTTCTTTTGAAAGTGCCTTCGATATAACCTTGAAGTGACCCCGGGACTGAAGTTGGCGATTAAAAACCCTGTCCTAGAGGTGCTATAGAAATTGTATTTTTGGCAGCTTTCCAGTGTTTTGAACTACTGTTCGTAATGCCGTAAGGAATCTCGTGAGACACTGATGTTAGGGAGTTCAAAAATCGGACTAGTAACACATGTCTCACCTTGGAGCATTTGTGGCTACTTCTGAATAAGGAAGTAGGACTTAACGCCCAGAAGACTATTTCGCTTTTTATCCCATAGTCGTAGATGGCACCTAGCAACCGACTTCCGTAGTACTTTGGAGTAGAAGTAGCTGCAATCAAGTTTTATAGTCAATGAAGTGAAAGAAAAGAATGAGGAGAAACGAAGTACTAATTACAAAAACTGTTTCCCTATATGTGGTAAAAGTTCTAAGACTCGCCCGATACCACAATAAAATCTAATTATTAGCAGTGAGTATATGCTTTTATTAACGAACCATTACTTATCAGAAGGCTCACTTCCGATCAGAGCATTTCCTCCGACTTCCTAAATTTTCCGACGCAGCCTCGCACAATCTTTTTTCCAGTTCCTTTCCTTAAGCGCCAGGCGAACAAGAAAAAGCTATTAAACAGTTTTATCGCCCCAAGTTACACCTCGAGCAAGCGTGCTTACTTTCGAGTACTTCGCGTTCGGCACCGATGAAGAACTTCGCAAGGATTAGCACATGATACGGTGTGCCCGAGATTCAATCTGGACCCCTGGAGCGATAGTTGTCATAGAAAAGGAAGGGTTTGAGTATACTTTCGCTCACATGGAACCAAATGTATTGACAGGTCTTCTTACGGCTCGAATGCATAGCCGTTCCTCCCTCAAGTCTTCTTGTTAAAAAGACGGTTTCCTTGCCTTGTCAGTTTTGGGGTCCTGTATAGCCAAGTAGTTATAATCGTTCGATGGAGGAAGTAAATTCCGTGCAATGGATGTTGTGTTGTGTGCTGTCTATATCTCGCACCAGATCGTTGCAAGGTATTTCGCATTGTAGGAGCAGGTTTGTTCAATAATCACTTCCCAGTAGATAGCTTGTGGAGTAGTATAGTGCTTAGTTACCAGACTTGGCCTCCCCACCACCACTACTATCATTACATTATCTAGTTTTAACACTTGGAAGTGACAGGAATGTAGTAAAACCTCACGAAGGAAAACGCTGCCTTCTGTGATCATTAATTTAACTTGTCAGCTCCGGTTTGGCTTTCCTTGTAGATGAAAATGGTAAACATTGCATCACGGTGAAGTTTTATATTAGGATCATATCATCTTAAGCTAATGTAAAAACATATCTGCAAGAATCGTATCATCTTCTCGAGCAATGTACAGTGTAATCGTGACCTTGAAGGTTAAATGTAGGTAAAGACGCTTTATTTGAGTGGAACCATATACATATTTTTGACCCTGCAAACGAAGACAGCGGAAATTTTTACATCCAATTATGATCTTGGGTGAAAACTATATTGACCCTGTGCATATCTGTCCGAGATCACTGGTACTAACCCTCGGTGTAAAGGATTTCAGGTATCTGGAGATAAAACAATAAAGACTCAAAGATAGCAGGGTTTCTTTTTTTCCCAGGCGATTCAGGCAAGATGACCAGTGAATAGCCACTATACCCGAAACATTTTCAAACGAAGGTTCATTTTACAATGACTGCGATCAGTATGCTCAATGGCAAAATCATTTTTAGCAAGTCATATCAGAACACACTATCCGTTTCCGAGGTAAAGAGTATAGGGTTTGTTGCCAAAAATGTCTAGACCTTGGTTTGGCTTACAAGGTCATGGTCAGTTTAAAAATTATCAGTAAATTGCCAGAGAAAAATGAAGCTCTCGTTGCCTTTGGAAGCTTATTTTTGCCTTTGTCTTTGAAAGACCCCCAAACTATTCGACCTAATTTTTTTTACGATAACCTTGACGATTAGGTTCAAAGTTAAAATAATTTCCACTCAAGGATGTCTGAACGTAAAATTTTCAGCTCTATCAATTCACTGAGTCAAAGGTATAATGTATCATTTAAAAAGGTCGTCCTGACTTTGATTTGACCTACAAGGTATTTGTCAACGTCAGATGCAAGGTCATGGAAAAACACTGAATACAGCTTCAACTTTACTTCTTCCACACCCCTTGGATGTCTCCAAATATCTTGTTGTTCAGGAACTTTTGGATTATCCTGTATAATCAGCATAACATTGGCGATTCTTTTCAAATATAAGCAAAACGCGTTAAGGCTTCTGAGTTTTACTGTTAAACTCGTACAGCAGATTGTGCTATTCGATCGTAGACCACAAGCAATATGGATTGCATTACCAGAAGTCAACTCTTCTAAAGGCTCAGCTCACTATACTTATATTACTATTTCTCGTTGCTTCTCAAGACGATCCGGAAGACCTTAGCCGCTACTTCATAGTCAGTGTATGTTGTCAGTCTATTAGGTTGTGTGGTCCAGAAACTATAGAAGTTGTAGGTGAACGAAGTACTTATTGCTTTCCGCGCATCCGGTCTACTGGGCATGCTGCCCTTCTAAGAAAACATCCTAGAAAGACTGTAAACAGGTAGTGGAGTTACTGTCTTGTTCTTAGATATATATTTTTCTGCTCAGTATGATATCGCCGGTAGTCCATAAGGATTGGTTTGCTCCAATATTAAATCTGCTTTAGATTAACGATATCCTCTTTAGCACGTTAATCCCTTCTCTCATTTCCTTGACGAATTTGTCAATTCTCTACTCATTGATGCCTCAAACTCCTTCACGTTTGAGTCTGCAAGGCACTTCATAAAGAATCAGTGTTTCATCACGATCAAACTAAATCTAACTTCATACACATCCCGGACAATCTGGGATCCTCATAACACTTTACACTTTTATTTTTTATAGACTCCAATTCGTCACCGAGATGAAACTCTCTCGTCCATCAGAGGGTTATATTTTCAAGACTTCGAGATACTCTCCTTGTGCTTAAAGTGACACTTAGGCTCATCTCACTGTTTCGTTGTGAAATATACCTCTTTAGGGGCCTATTTCGCTTCTCGGTCCCGTCGTTTCGTAGACAAACAACCAATAAACGCGAGATTTTCCCGCTATGGCTTTTTGCTATGCAGATTTTGTGTTTTTTGTATTGATTATCTCCCAGGAGCGTATACAGTGCCACAGGAAAACTTTTTTAGGGCGCTAAATATATTATTGTTAGAGCACTGTTGGCAGAATAAAAAACTACCATTATCTCTACTCACCCAAAATTCATTTATGCTTTACAGTGCTCCTTAGAGTGACGTAACTTTCTGGAACACAAAGATACCAAACGATCAGCTAAGCTGACTGATTAAATCCAGATTCGACAAGATTCCATGAGAAGAAGACGAAATATTCGCATTTTGTTATGGTCATCTGGGAATCTCTCTTGACTTCACATTGTCTTTCTAGGCCATTCGAAGATATAACTCCACAGCTACAGACAGTCAGGCTGGTGGAACATGTAACCAGATGATCCACCCTCAGCACGACTACTGGCATTTTGCTTTTGGGTATTTCAGAAGCCTTTGACAATGACGGGCCTCCTCTATAAACTAATCCAAAAGGGTTTTCTTTTTTGGCCAAAAACCACCGAAATCTTTCTTTGTAGCAAGGACGTTTTGGATCAAAATTAACAATGTTTTGTCAACAACACGGCCAGTACGGACTGGTGTTCCTCAGGGCTTGGTCCTTGTACCAATCCTTTAAACGCTTGTTATCCACGACGTCCCTTGCCCCAGCAACTGTGAAGTCTACCTCTACGCTGACGA